TTACTGTGAAGGTTCCTTTCCTGCAGTTGTGAGGAGGGGATCCTTCTCACCCTGATTGGTGCTATTTGACTCTTTGGAGCTACTGTTGTTGTTAACTGCCTTTGAGTTGTCCCTGACTCATGACAATCCTGTGGATGAGACCTCTCCAAGATCCCCTAGCCTCCACTCCTCTGCTCAGGTCCTGCAGATTCAGGCCTGTGATCTCTCTGGTTGAGTCCATCCATCTGGCATGCAGTCTTCCTCTCTTTATGCTGCCATGTCTTTCCAAGCATTATTGCCTTTTCTGATGGGGCATACCTTCTCATGTGGCTAACGTATAACAGTCTCAGTTTGGTCATCTTGGCTTCCAAGGAGATTTTAGGCACAAACTGTTCTGGGGTTCATTTCTTTCTCTTTTTGCCATCCATGGTATCTGTAGAACTCTTCTGTAGCATCACATCTCATATGAATTGCTTTTCTTTCTGTCAACTTCCTTCACTGTCCAGCTCTCACATCCATACATAGTGATGGGGAATATAACAGCTTGGACAATTCTAACCATAGTGCTCAATTGTATATCTTTTTTTTAAATCTTTTCTAGTTTTTTCATCACTGCCCTTACCATTCCTAGTCTTCTGATTTCATAGCTGCAGTCTCTGTTCTTACCAGTGTTTGATCCAAGGTACGGGAAATCTTCAATTATTTCAATTTCCTCATTATCTAGGTTGAATTTATATAGATCCTCCATGGTCATTACTTTTGTTTTGTTTTTATGTTCAGCAGAAAGCCTTCCTTTGCACTTCTTCCTTGAGCTTCCTTGGTAATTGTTTCAAGTCTATGGTGTTTTCTCATCTCACATTCACTGAAGTTAGGAGCACAGGACTCATGTAAATGTGGAAGAACCACACATAACAAAAACACTATGTTTTTACCTGAGAGGACAGCTCTCTAGGAATCTCTAGGTCCTCCAGTGCAACTCTGTGGTCAACATCTGCCAGACATTGACCATAGAATTGTGCTGGAGGAGTTACAAATGCCTAGTGGAGTGTTCTCTCTAGGAATCTCTAGGTTCTTTAGTGCGACTTTTGGTTAAAGTTGACCATAGAGTTGCACCAGAGGATCTAGATATTCCTAGAGAGAATATATTTATAAAATCCATAAATAATCAGATCTGCAAAAGTCAGAGCTGCAAATGTGGAGGGAGGGTTATGTATTGATTGTTTTCAGTCTGTTGGCCACTGATTTGTTTTCCATAGTTGTTGGCATATTTTAGTTAACACTAGAATTGTTAACTAAACAAGTCACTGGTGGTTATTTATTTATTTATCTGTCCAGAGTTTGTCATTCCATCACTAGGGAGGAGGGGCTAGCTCTCCCACTTAGGCTGGAAAGTATAATTGATATTTGAAGAAACCCTGTCTAGGAAGTGGGAGGAGAAGGACCCAATGTAAGGATTCCTTCTCCACAACTACAGAAAAGGAACCAGTACCGATGCTCCATTGACTGCCATGGGATGCGAAATGCAAAGCTGGGTTTACCAGCTATGCAAAACAGAATAAAGTAATAAAATGCCAGAGTTAGTAGAATGGATTGTACCATTTCCAGTCAAAGGTAATGATACCATTTGTGAATGTTCTTCTAAATTTAAAATAAAATAAAAGAAACCCAATATAATACTCCAAATAAATAATCAAGTGGAGAACTGGCACACAGGGGAGAGATCGCATTCTGCTGGTTTAGAATCTGAGTAAATGATGCAGGTTAAGTCAACTTTCCTTTTCTATGCAGAGCTTGTAAATGTTGCTTTTTTGGACTGCAGCATTACAAATCTGGCTGGGGGATTCTTGAGGATTGCAATCCAGAAAGTCACTTTTTCCAGCTCTGGCTATATGTAGTGTGCTACTGTGATGAATACAATGCTTTCTTCATGAGTCATCTTGCATATTTTTCTTCTGACTTAAATGAGCTTTGCTTTCCATGCTTGTGGCTTGATGATGAGTCACTGAGGATTACCTGACAGGGCATGTTGAATGTAAAGACCCAGTAGTTCTTGTTCACTCCGTAAGGAAAACCTCCTAAAGCAACCACACCTTGATCTGAAATCTGGCTGTAGAAATTGATCTCTGTGTTATGGCTTGAGGTTAGGACAGCAATATCTTAAAGTTCTTCTTAATCAGTGCTCTTATGAAGTCATCTCTTTCCACCCAAACTCTGGTCTATGTTTGCAGTTTCTCATTAGAAATCCAGCAGTGGTCAAACCCACATGGAGAGAATGGGGGAATAGCAAAGGTCACAGGCACAAAGCATTGCTGAGATGCCAAAGTAATTATTCCTGATGTGGGATGGTGGTTCCCTCATAAAATCACAAAAGGGTTGTTGTTGTTTTTAACAAAAGCTGAAACTAGGGATGTGAGACCTGTCAATTTTTCTTGCTTTTCTCACAATCCCAGCAGCATGCCCATCCCCTCCTAGTTCCATATCAGTTTGGAAGGCTTTCCTTTCCAGCATTTGTGTATATTTTGGAATGCATTTTTCCTAAAGTACACATTTTTAATCCACTGTTTTCATTGACTATAGTGTATTCGTGTGTATTTTTCAACTATGCTTATTTTTAATTCTGCACATTTCCCCAGTTTAGCTCTTTCCAAATTCGCTGAACTAGAATTTTTACTTATGGTTGGTAGGTAGGCCTAGGCACCCTAAAGCCACCATCCTGTCTGAACCTGGAAACTAAGCAGGGTCAGCCCTCTCTGAAGATGCCAGCCACAGATGCTGGTGAAACATCAGAAAGAAACTCTTCTAGAACATGGCCACACAGCCTGAAAAACCCACAAAAAAACTAGGCTCTGCTCTGCTTAAGACTTGGATGGGACACTGCCAACAAATACTAGATGCTAAAGGATATATTTTGGAGAAAGGAACTGGCAAAACCACTGAGTATTCCTTGCCTGAGAAAATCCTATGAAATTAATGGCATCACCATACATTGTCAGGCAACTTGAAGGCACACACACACAGGGCTCAATTTGTAGTTCATCATATCTAGAAACTAATAGTTTGACAAAGTTGTCCTAAAGTATGGAATCTTACAACCTGCTTATTTAGGTTTTATCATTAAACTGGATCTCTTTTTCCCCCCTCTAATCCTACCAACATGTAAGCTGCTCAATCACTCTTCAGACATTGCAGATTTTCCTCTGGATTGGAAAAGGAAATATGGAATGATATGTTCAGTTCTGTTTAGATGCTTCTGACCCACTACCATACTACAGTAATGCAAAGCTCAGTTGGTAAATCAAGGTGGAGAATTATTCATCAGAAGTATTTCAGGGGCCCCTGAGCATCTACAGAATATTTTTTTTCTGTGCTCTTAACTAACTGCATCTACTACACAAACACTATTGAGAATCAAGAAGCTTGGACTGCAAAAATCAATAGTAGAGCACATATTTTGCATGCAAATGTCGTAGATCTGAAGTTCAGTTCTTTCCATCTCCGTTTTC